TCACGGAGGTGGGTGCCGGGCTGGGGTGCGGGCCAGGGCTCAGGGCCCAGGTGGGGGTCGGGGTGCGGCCCGGAGTCGGGGCCCAGGTGCCCGTCGGGGATCAGGGTTGGGGTGCAGGCCGGGTTTCAGGGCCCAGATAGGGGTCCGGCCCGGGTGTGGGTCGAGGTCGGTGCCCAGGTCGGGGTCGGGGCTCAGGTCGGGGTCGGGGCTCGGTGTGGGCTCGGACCACAATCAGAGCCGGGTGGCATCAGGGTCGGGACTCGCGTCGCTGCCCAGGGAGCCTGCCCTTTGGCCTGGCCTGCGGCCCCGAGGGGCGACCCGGGCCCATTTCCGTGGTGTCTGCGCGGTCCCTCGCCCTCACCTCTGCTCTTCCTTTCTCACCCAGCCCCATCGCCGCCTCTCCAGGGGGTCTCCCGGCCCCTCGGCGAGCATTATTTCTCTCCAGCCTACCTTTGTATCTGCCCCAACCCTTTTGGCACCGGGGACAGGTGCTCCTATGAGAATAACACCTGATGGCCTGAGGTGGAGCTGAGGCAGTGATGCTGGCGCTGGGGAGCAGCTGCAGACACAGATGGACCTTTGCTGGCTTGTTCCCCACCCCTCTCCTGCTGTCTGCCCGGGTTCCTAACAGGCCACCGACTGGTACTGGTCTGTGGCCCAGAGGTTGGGGACCCCTGTGTTAGAGCACATTTTCCATTCTGCCTGTCAGAGGTGTTTTTTGTTTTGTTTTTTTGTTTTTCCTTCTTCAGTGCCTAGCACGTGGAAGGTGCTCAGAAATCCAGGGAGAACGAAATCATTCTTTTTTTATGCGCTGCCTCCCCCCCCACAGGGTTCTGCACAATGGTCACCACATACTGGGTGTTTAATAAATACCTGTGGATGCAGGTGAACTTGAAAGGGAAACTCTAAAAGAGCAGGTCAGTATCTGCTGATAAGTAGCACGACCTGCCTTCAGTCGAGATGGGTTGTAACTTTTTCCTCCTGGAAGCTGAATTTCCGAGTGAGAGACCGTAGCCTGTTGGTTGGCATATCCTGGGAACGGCACACAGAACGTGCACAATGAACTCAGTAGCATCTGCTGAGGCTCCTGGTAGCTCAGGGTGGCGGCACCCAGCCCCACGGTGCCCCTCAGGCGAGTATTGAACTCGGGACCTTGGGCGTGCTCTTCGGGAGTTAGGAGTCAGGTTGAGCTTGCAGAAGCTGGGTGCCCCTGATCACGCCCACGTGGTCCTCAAACTTCACTTCTCGCTCTTTCCAGCAGGTTGGGCGTCTTACACGTCCACAGACTCCGCTTTACTCCTTTCTGCCCCCTTAGTTTATAATGTGTGCCCCTGTGTTAAAACTCTGTGCTTAAAAGTCTCGATCCCCACCCACATCCCCAGGGCCGTCTTGCCTGGCTCCTCCCGCGGCCAGCCCGGCATTCCACCTGCCCTGGACAGCCGTGGGCAAGGGACGCGGCTGTGCAGAGAGCACCACGGGAGCTGGGCGGGCTACCGCGTCACCTCTGCCCCGCGAGGCAGGCAGGGAGCGTGCTCTCACCCAGGAGGGAACAAGTCAGTCACCGGGACGTGACCTTGGGCGACCACAGCGGTTGCCACCACAGCCTCCCACTTCTGTCTTCCGTGTTGGCCCGGTCGGCCCGCCGACAGAGCCAGGGCATGCCTCGTCTTGTGGGCGTCGCTGTGGTGCTGGCAGGCGCACTGGAAGCGCTTTCAAATCGCAGGTGAAGAGCCTTCTGTGGAAATTCTCCAGTGGCCCCGAGCTTTGTGCTCAGCCCCCCGTCTTCGTATCTAGCTGCAGCTAGAGCCCCTTTGCCTGTTTCATAAGTCAGAGCACTGGTCTTGTGACGTTGATGTCTCCCATCACTTAAAGTTATGCTCGCACTTCTAACTGCCAGGGAACTGGGAAAACCTCGAAAGAGGCAAAATGAAAAGTTTCCAGGCATATAACATGCAGGACACTCTTACTGTTCCGGCCGTTTGCTCAGGAAGAAGAGCAGCCTGGCTCCTTGGTGGTGTGGTGAGCGGTGAGAGCTGGCTTCGTTGGCAGCTCCTGCAGCGGGGTCTCAGTGAAGGAGTCAGTGTCAGCATGCAGCTTTTTTTTAAGACGTGTCCTGCAGTAAAAAGTACGCTTTAGGTCGAACCCAGGACCCTCACGTGCGGGCGTGCTCATCCTCACTGTGTACAGTGCAGTCTGATGGGTTTTTTCTGTTTCATTAAAAACATGCTGTTGCTCCCCATTGTGTTGATTTCACAGAGACCTAGCACGTGCTGGGACACTGGTCTCAGAGGGCCCCGGGCCTTCAGGGAAAATCACACCCAGGCTTCGCTGGGGGTACAGGTGGGCAGAGAACAGAAGCGGTGTGGCACAGAGCCGCCCCGTCCTGGGAAGCGGCGGACAGTGGAGGGCAAGGGCCTTTCCGTCCAGTCCCGTGCAGAAAGCCAGGCCGGGATGGTCTTTCCCCTCCAGAGCCCGTCCTCCCCACTGGGCCTGAGGGACCCCTGTCAGATGCTCCCTGGTTTCAACCCTCGCAGGGCCTCCTCGTGGAGAACGGGCTAAGTGCACGTTCCTGAGGGGCCCGAGGCCATCTGGGTCGGGCACTGCCTGATCGGCCTCAGACTCCTCCTGGCCCAGACGTCCTTTGCTCCCTGGACAGGACTCGCCTGGCCCTGGGCCTTTCAGGGACTGTTTGGCCTGGTGCGTGTCCTCCCCCAGCTCCTGTAGGCCTCGGGTCTTGGCGTGGTCTCTCCTGGGAAGCATGCCCTGACACCCCCGCGCTCCTGAGTTTGGACTTGGGACAGTCCCTGTACCCCCTTTGCACCTTGCACACGTCCGTAATGTCTGCCCGTCCCCACAGCCACTGGGGCCTGCTGGCGACAGGCCTGGTGTGTAGCAGACACTCCTGTGTTTGCTGAGTGAGCGAACTGGGTCCTGGGTGCGGGCGGGTCCCACAGCCCTGGGACGTGGGCTCAGTGGCCCAGGCCGGGGAGGGGCTGTCCCTTGGGGACCTGACCGTGGCCTCGCTTTCTTTTCTAAAGGTGATCAGGGTGACCGGCTTCCTGAAGGGCCTCTACACGGACGCTGAGATGAAGTCGGATAACGTGAAGGTGGGTGTGAGCGCCCGGCCCCTCGCGCGGTCAGCGGGTGTTTCTGGAGCCGTGTGCCGGTCGCGTGCCGTTTCTGTGCGGGCTGCGGGGCAGTATGAGGCCGTCACCCGGTCTCACTCCCTTTTCTCATTTTCAGCGACTGCAAACGATGGTATTTTTGTCCACTGAGAAGTGGAACTATGTTTCAAGGGCACATGCCGGCCCTTCCACTGGTATTAAAAGCGTTAATGAGTTGTTTTTGTTTTGTTGTAAAGACTTAGTATTTCTAGGTATGACACCTAAAAATAGCTTTTCGTGTAAATAGGAAGTGTGCCCCTTGAACATGCTGACAGTAACGCAAAATTTTTTTGAAGTCTTTTGTTATTCGTACTTTGGGAATCTTTCAGGATAAAGACGCAAAAATTAGCTTCCTTCAGAAGGCCATAGACGTGGTAGTCATGGTGACAGGAGAGCCACTGTCAGCAAAACCAGCCCGGATCGTGGCCGGGCACGAGCCCGAGAGGACAAACGAGCTGCTGCAGAGGATCGGGAAGTGCTGCCTCCACAAGGTAAGGCCGAGGGCCGGCCCCTTGAGCTTGCCGGTTCTGGGGAGCGGAAGTGGCGGGGGGGCTCCCCAATGTACCGTGGGCCAGCGGTGATCCGAGGGAGCTCGCTGGGGTCTGGTGAGTGCTGAGCTTTGAATCTGCTCCCACCTGTTCTGGAACCTCGGAGTCACAGGCAGAGGAGCTTAAGACTGAGCAGCGACGCAGGCGACACGTTCCGTGGGCTTCCTCAGTGAGACTCACGGCCCGTGGCTCTTGGGGCTGGAGGCTGCGCGGCCGGCATGCAGGCCCTGCGCCCCTCCTGTTGGGCCTCCTTTCAGGGCGGGTGACTCTTTCCAGCCCGCCCAGGTGGACGCAGGAGCTGCGTTTCCTCTTTGGGGCTCCTGCGACGTCCCTGTTCTCTGCCCGCTTTTCAGCCTCTGGTGCCTGCTTCTCCCCGCCACCCCCCTGCCCCCGTCTCTCCCGGTTCTTGTTTGTAGAGCTGTGCTGCCTGCCGGGAAATCCTCTCGCATTGTACAGGGACTGGGGGAGTTACTTCCTGAGACCCTCACCGTGGGCCGCTCTGGTGAGATCCAGCCCTGCCACGTTTGCCGGAACGTTGGTGAAGTCTCACTTGGAGATGGGGGCAGGCACCCCAGGGCCCGCCTTCTCTGTGGGAGCTGGGCAGCAGCCAGCGGAGCGGAGTCGGACCTTTGTCGAGGGCATAGCTAATACAGCCCTTCGTATCCCGATGGGCCGTGGGCTGGGGGCCGACCTGTGTCTTTACTGAAGTGGTTAGAGGTGGGTTGGAGCCCACACAGCAGCAGCGGGGTGGGGCACGGTGACTCCCAGGAGATCTCGAGAGCCTGACCCCACACTGCCTCCGACTTGCAGCCTTGGAGACTTGGAGACGCAGAAGCTGGTTTTGCTGGTGCGCCGGTCGCCAGCTCCCAGCCCCGCGTCCTTCCTGCTGCTTCTTTCTAAAAGGCAAACCGGACCCCCGCCTTCCCTGCCAATCCACGGCCAGCTTTCCGTCGCCCTGGGGGGTGCGGCGGCAGCCAGCTCGGGGACGGGGCTCGCGAGGCTCTGCAGAGCTGCCGCTGCTCCCACCCTGCAGCCATGGCCTCTCCGCTCCAGCCGTGCCGGTCTCGGGCGCTGGTTGTGCCCCCTCCCTTTTCGGTCCGAGCCGCCTTCCTCCTCCCAGCCCCGGTGGCAGCGGCGGGGCTGCTTCCTCCCAGGCTGACGTAGGCGCCCCTGCCGTGTCCAGAGCTAACTGCCGTCTAATCCTGGTGGTTGGCTGTCTCCCCCAGCGCGCAGTGTGTTCTCGGTCCGGGGTCTGGGGCCCGGGTTCTGGGGCCCGGCGAGTCACGCTCACTCGACGCCCCATTGGGGAATGAGTGAGTGGCCTCCTGACCGGAGGTGTGCGAGGCTGTGGCGGCGGTCAGCCATGCCGCAGGGGGTTCCGCACGAGCTGGGGCTTGAGTCGGATCTTCCTCCAGGCCCCTTAGTGCTGGGCTTTCGGGACCCCGTGGGCGGGGACAGCTTTGCCGTCCTTGAACGGCACACGTCCACACCTGACAGCTCAGGTGGCATTGAACCGGCTTCGTTTAGGTCGGGGGGACCCTGGCGGTGACAGCGACCCGTGGGTGCCGGGCTGTGTCGTAACGGCACACGTTCTTCCTGGCTGGTCCTTCCAGTTTCACGGGCATGAAGAATCTGTTGAATGAGCTGCCTTTGAAACTCGCCGGTCTCATTTATCACTCGTGCTAATCTCGTTTTCGCCTCGCGTTTCATTTCCTCCCGTCGGGACAAGCTGTCCAGCGACGACGCGGTGAAGAGAGTGTTGGCTGGAGAGAAAGGCGACGTGAAGGGAAGGACCTCACTGCCCGCGAAACCTCAGGAGCCGGACAACAGGAATGCGAGAGATGAGGGGCCCAGGGCCCCCAGAGAGAAGGAGGTGGGCCGCGGGCTGCAGCTGCGGGGGGGCGAGGCAGCCCGGCTTTCGTCCGGGCAAAGACCCTTTCAGGTGCTATCGTTGTCCAACTTCTCTTTTCCAGGATAGAAAAAACTCTGAAAAAAACGAGAGAAGCACGAGCAGAGATGGAAGACAGAAAGAAGAAGCGAGAGAAGAAAGCGAGCCGAGAGACAAGGAGAGAGACAAGGAGAGGGCCAGGGAGAATGGCCGCGACCGGCACAAAGACCCCGAGAGAGACAGAGCCAAGGCCAGGGCCAGGCAGGACAAGGACAAGGACAGGGACAGGGACAGGGACAGGGGCAACAGGGAGCGGGGCAGAGACTCGGAGCGCGAGAGAGAGAGGAAGCACGAGGCCTCCAAGGAGAAGGAGCGCGAGCGGGACAAGGGCAGGGACAGGGACAGGGACAGGCGGAAGGCGAGAAACGGGGAGCACTCCCGCAACCCCGACAGGGAGAAGAGCAGAGAGCACGAGAGACCGGAGAAGGTGAGCGCCGTCCGAAGCCGTGTCTGTGGCCGGGCGTGCGTGCTGTGCTCTGGCACGGTGGCGTCTGCTGCAGCGCGACTGGGGGCTGGTGGGTCCCGCGTTAACTGAGGGTCCTGACAGCCTCGGATTCCCACCGAAGTTCAGAGAGACGCGGCGGTGTCGGCCGGGTGTTGCCGGGGTCGGCCTGCACTGTGCGAGTGCGCGTTGGGATGTGTCCCTGCACACTGTGCCCGTGCTTGGCGGGCGGGCGGCGCTCACCGTCAGGTGCGCCTGGGTGGCCCCTGGTGCACAGATACGGATGTGGCTGCGTGTGTCGGGCCAGGGCCACGCCCACAGGCAGCAGTGGGCAAGTGCGTTGAGACCCCGGCTTACCGTGACTTTAGTTTAATGAAACGTTCAGGTAAATTTAGAAGTGGCCAGAAAATTTCTTTGCTTTCAGACAGTGTTTTCAAAATGTGCAATTGCTGTGGGCTCGCCCGGGGAGTTCAGGCGTCCCGTCAGGCCTGCTGCTCCGGACACGCGTTCCCGTGGGGACGTTGCGTGATTGTGAAGCATCCTGGGAGGGTTGTGCGGACCTGGCCTCCAGCTGCCCGAAGGGGAGGAGGCGAGGCCTGGGGAGGTTCGGGTCTGTACGGGTGGGGTGAGCGCTGAGGGCCGAGGCCTGAGAAGCCACCTGGGAGCCCTGAGGGGGCCCAGGGGACTGCGTGCCGCCACCCCGGGAGCTGGGCTTCTGTGCGAGTCCGTGCACGCTCGGTGTGAGCAGTGTGCTGCCGGGAGCGCGCCCCAGGGCGGGTGCCGGGAAAGCCGGCTGCCCGGGGCGTCTGAGACACCCGGAGACGCTCCCATCTTCTTTCTCTTTCCAGAGGTCTAGGCGAAAGTGTTTTTTGCTGACTGATCTGAGGCATTAGCACATTCTGGGTGTCATCTCGTCAGCTGCCAGGTCCCTCGATCAAGTGTTCCCACCTGTTATGTCCACTGGAAATGTGACGCTGTGATGAGTGTTTTAAATGGACAGTTCCAAAGAGAGTTTGGGACGGACATGCAGGGCCTGCGGGAGCCCTGCGGGAGCCCTGTGGGAGCGAGCTCGTGTTTAGCGGTGTGAGAGACCAGGGCAGGGGACTGTCCTGCCCGGAGCCAGTCCCTCCCGGGGAGGCTTGCTCAGTGTAGACCTGGCTTCTTCACGGGGCCGGTGTGGGAGGCAGTGTGTGGCCTCTGTGTGGGCAGCTTCGGGGGTGACTCGTGGTGACCCAGGCTGCGCCGTGCTCCCCGCTCCCCCACGTGCCGTCTGTCTCGGCCCCGCTCCGTGCTGGCGAAGGAAGGTGCAGCGGTAGGTGTGAACGCGCTCTGAGAGGTCAGGCATGTGCCACGCGTGCGGTGGGGGCCCAGGCCTCCGGTCGGAGCGGCTGTCTGCGTGCGTGGTGCCCTGCCACCTCTGGGGACCGCCGGGGGTGCGTCGGGGGCAGGGGGCCGGTGCAGGGTGATTCCCGCGATGGAATGTGTCCCCTCACGAGCACATTAGTTGTTGAGACTAATTGGGGTGTGTTAGTGAGCAGCCATCGTGCAGTCTCAGTGACTGTCATCTCCTGTGTCAAGATGCGTCCTTCAGATAATTGACTCAAGGTGGGAGGCGGTGTGTGCAGTTTCATCCAGTTTGTTTTGAGGGTGCTTTCTCGACGCATCTGAAGCTTTTGCTTAAGCAAAGCCACTCCGTTTGAGGGTGTCCCACCCTGGGAGGTGTGGGGGGCGGCTTTCCCGGGGCATTGGGGGTCTCTGTTCCTCCCCGCTCCAGGTTCCCTGTGCTCCCCCCATGTTCTGAGGCGTTTGGCCAGACTCAGTTGCGCAGTTTGCTGGGAGGCACTGCCTCAGCCCTCGCCCCCCGGCCTGTCCCGCACCCGGAAAGGGATCCGCAAGATCCTTTGGGACTTCAGGCGCCATGACAACCATGCGTCAGATCCCGAGTGTGGCCGGATGCTCTTGTGGGAGGGGTCATCTTGCTATTGGTCAGCAAGGAGCGTCTTGCATTTTGATGTTTTTTTTAATTTATTTTTATTTTTTAATATTTTTTAGGTGAGGCAACCCTTGGTTGACCTCACAGATTGCGAGGACCTTGTCAGCTTACAATCCCTTATTTTTTTATTTTTATTTTTTTACGCCTATAGTACCTGGTCTTCCTAGGTGGTCTCCCATCCAAGTACTCACCAGGCCCGACCCTGCTTAGCTTCCGAGATCAGACGGGATCCAGCACGTTCAGGGTGGCATGGCCGTAGACTGATGTTTTTTAGATGTAACAGATCAGAATAATTCTAGAAATTGAAGAAAAACTTTCTTTTTTTTTATAGTCATCAAGCTCGGGGGAGATGTCTAAAAAGTTGTCAGATGGATCGCTTAAAGACTCCAAAGCTGAAACAGAGGTAAATTTTAAAAAATCCCTTTAGGAGATGTAAACCTTGGGCTGTGCTGAAGCCGCTGACCTGCCCCGGCCACCAACAGGTGGGGGCAACATGGCACGGGCTCCTCACCGCAGGCCTGTGTTGGGTCGTGGAGGCTGTGATGTGAATGGTTTAGCACCTGGTCCCATGGGCGGGCTGTGTTGTCCTCTGGTTTCCCGTGGCGACCCAGGCTTTCCTCATAGCTGTATTCAGCACGGATGCTGCATGAGAAGGAAGGGACCGCGTGGTCATTCGGGAGGCGGGAGAGGGACCCGTCCCAGGGAGGTGAGACTGCCAGTTCTCGAGATCTAGCTTGCATTTCAAAGAGCGTCTCCAGGCAGCTGCAGGGAGGGTGGACGAGGTTTGGGGTGGAGGCGGGGAGGCCAGCTGGGAGGCCATCGTGGCCGGCCGAGAGGTGGGGAGTGGGGCCTGCCCGTGGCGGGGCGGGGGTGGACGCGCCGTCTCGCTGAGTTGTGGACGAGCGCGTTTCGGTGAGTGCGTAGCAGCAGAGGTTGAGCCCTCTTAAACACCCCAGTGTTGAGGAGACAGTGTTTTTCAAAGTGTGGTTGGCAGGTCACCACCTTTTCAAAGCCGTACAAAAAGGTGGGG